TACACAAAAGCAGCTACCATCCCGACAAGGAAGTTAGTCAAACAGACAACCCAAGGTCAAATAAAGGACCTCGTCCACCGCTGTGGTCAGTTTGTGTCACTGAGGGAAATCTGAACAAAGCTGAATAAAACAGATAAGAAATGGTTTTCTATAAAGAGAAATCTTTTACTGAATTTGGTTTTGCAAAGATTAACCTGCCTGTAGTACTATTTTAAGCTTTCATTAAGTTCTTAAATTTGAAAAAAAAAAATCTTTCAAACAATGAAGTAAAGCTTTTAACTTTTGGAGTGCATGCTGGCCTACACCAAAAAACACCAAAAAAAAGGGATTCTAGCTCACTGAAAAACAAATGCTGCTAATCCACCACTGCTCCCTGTGGTCAGTTTGTGTCACTGCATTCACTGAGCAAGTCTGACAGTGTTGGTGTCCTTCTGTGAATCATCAGCATCAAAGGCTCAGATCCATTAATGAAAAGACTTCAATAAAGGGCAGATCCTTGTTTCTGCTTCTCCACAGCATCTGGTTCTGACAAATCCATAACAATGACAAATGTCCATTTTTTGCACATTTTTTCCCTTGACTGTCTTTGCTGCACAACTGTTTCACACATGTCTGCCAGAAAAATTCAACACTTCAGTCTCATCACTGTGCAGTTTTCATCACATTCTGCAAAATAAATGGACCATAAAAGAATCCAAGGAAGTATGAGGAGTTTGGGGGTCGGGGGATACGACCAGACACACTACCAAGAACAAGACTTAAAGTAAAAGAAGACAAATACAAAGAGGGAAAAAGGATAAGAAGAGGAGGAAACCTCCATCTAAACAACAGCTGCTCCACCTCTGCCAGCCTGAGGAGCAGAGGAGATTCCAATACTGATCCTTGATCTCCAATTTTCTCAGAGTGAGGGACAGGGGTGAGGGCAGGACAGCCACTCTAAAAATACTCCAGAAGAAGAGAAGGAGAAACAGGAGAGGGGTTAGGAGTAACGAGTAGTAGGAGAGGGTGAAGTATGTGTATGATTATGTAAATAAAAAAGGACATTTCTGCATTAAAAAGTTACGCTTACAAAGAGCCAGGCGTCTGGAAAATGTTTTCACCCTTTAAATTCAAAGATATTTATCTTTAGTTGAAAACTGACTTAAGTTAAAACAAAGATTCAACGTAAAAAAAAATATTCTAAATTTAGGAATAAAGGTGTATACAATAACTATTTGGCCCTTTTTTGTGGCTTCTTTTTTCAAGTATTCAAAATAAATCCGTAGAACCAAAAGATGATTCTGATCAACATCAAACATTCAACATATTTCAGCCATCTTTGGCCATATTTAAGTGTGTAAATCACTGATTCCAAAGTGGGGGCTTGGACCTATTGCAGTGGGGTGCAGCGAGGCATATTCACTTTCAAATCTAATTTGTGCAGTAATAGTTAATGAAATGGTATGGACGTGTCAATGCAGTCCTAGCCCAAAGTTCAGGAACTCCTCGAGGCTGTCAGAGGAGGTGCCACCTCCAGTTGTGTCCACAGAAGGAGGGCCAATGCAGTTGGTTCCCTACATTTGGTTTAAATATTTGATGTAGAAGACGACAGGGGGCACATGAAGACCTGCCTATAACTTTGGCACAGTACCGTATGCTCCTCTCAGGACCAGGTTTTTCTCAGGGACCTCCTGGATCTTTCAGCAGAACAACATCAGGAACTGTTCTGCACCGACCACAGACGATTGGTCTTCATAGATACAGTGTGTGGACGACTGTCCTGCCTCTGTCCACAGTGATCTCCAGATTAAAAACCATCATGAATGAGATGAGGTGACTACTGAAGGTGCCACGGCGCCACTGTGTCTACAAACCAACAAAGATTCTCAGCCAAAGAGAAAGTGGTGTGACCCAGGTATGAACTGTACTGCTGTCCACACTTTGACCAATCCACAAGTTTGAGTTATTATGTGTTTTTAGACCGAGACCCAAGTCCTGATGATTCAGACATGAATCTCTGAATCAGGTTTAAATTCAATATAACTGAAAATCCAAATCACATTTGTTAATTTTTTTTTGTGTTACTTTACGATCCAGACTTTCTGAACTAATATGGATCAAATCTGACTAAATGCACATCATCTGAGCATCGCCTCCCTCCCTCACCCCTCCCTTACCCCTCACAGACTGAAGGAGGTCTACATAGTGTCTGAGTCTAAAAATACTTTCTCCTCGTGACTTAAAACTCACAAGGAAGCAGAGTTTCCTGTCGTTTTACTTCGCCCCATCAGAACCCCTCCACCCTCTTCCTCCTCCTCCTCTCCAACTCCCTTTCATGAAAAGATGTCAGTGAAGACTCAGAAACGGCCGCAGGGCGAAGATGGCATGAAGCAGAGGAAACCGTGAGGAGGAGAAGGGAGGAGGACGAACAAAGCCTGTCTTTTATTTAGTTTTATTTCTCCCTTTCTTTTCTTTTCTTTTCTCTCAGCAGCTAATTCATGTCAGGACCAGTGGCCCAGATACCAGGGCTGCATGAAGAGGGTCCACTTTAGCAGCACCAGAGGCTCCAGGCCACGACCTTAGACAAAAGCAGGCTCTGTTAGTGATGTTTAAGAAGAGGAGACACGAGACACTGCAGGACTCAAACTGCAGCACGTGGAAGCTGGAGGACAGCGAGATGTTAAATATGTGATTTAATGACAGTAAGCTGATAAACTAACTTTTATACCAAACTGAGGCAACTGTACTGATGACATCAGACATCTGAGGTCTGACGAAGATGACAGGTTTAGCTGGCTTTAAATGCTTTCTACTTTTGCTAATGAAATGGAGATGTTTTGTTTCACAACTGCAGGGGTTTTAAGATTTATCAACATCCTAATTTTCTGAATTTCTATCTTCAGGCGCTGATAATAAGCAGGCATCAGGGCAAAGATATGTTTTCAATTTTTTTTTTTTACGAACAAGGGAGCCACAATGGTAATGTCGACAAGGAAAAAAAATACCTAAAGCTCAAAATGGCTAAGTATGCTAATAATAGTAATATTGAGTTCAAAACTGAACTATCACACAAAAAATAGCTTCAGGCCTCTGAACATTATTGCTGAGAGCTTAAAGCTTAAAGATAAAATTAACAAAAATGAACTTTATGGAACTGTTGTCAACAAAAGGCTAATAGGTAGCTAAAATTATGAAAAATGTAGCCAAAGCTATCCCACAAAGTAACTAAACTTTAGAAAAAGAAAACCTAGAAGCTGCAAAAACAAATGTGCACTAATGTCTGACCTTTGTTTAGAGAAAAGACTGAAGGAAAATATTATCATCTAATATTATTCTTTATAATAATTTTCAGCTGAACAATTAGAGTAAAATAAATAATTTAAATGAAGGGGGATTTACTCCCAATATGAAACCATGAACAGCTCTGTGATTAGAAGAAAAGGTGGGAAATATAAACACTTATTATTATTATTATTATTAGTTTCTATAATTACCAACATGTGAGAGTTAGACACATTTTTAAAATAACGCAGAAATAAATTAAATGCTCTGTTCTTGGTCCTGATCTGAAAACCATTAAGAGTTTAGAGTTGAGTCCAAACACATTCATCATGTCTTCAGTCCCCGAGGATGAATGAGCCGCAGTGGATTCAATGGAACCACAGATAAACACAGACACACGCAGATAAACAGGCAGTAAAACTGAGACTTTATGAGTCCTCGGAATAATACAATCTGATTTGAGTGATAGGAGATAACATGTGCAGATATTTATTCAAATAAATCTCACTGTCAGAAGATCTGCTGCTGCTGTCGCCCCACAGAGGTTAGCCTACAGTATGTCATCACCAAAACTACCAACACTGAAAATACTCGATGACAAGGTGAGAAAAAAGGTAAGAGTTAGCCAATTAAAAAGATTCAACTAATTTTGTCACCAAAACCAAGTACAATTTCAAGAGATTAAAAAAGTTGAAGGCAAACGTTAAAGGATGTTAAAGGACAGAACTACACTGAACTGATCCAAAAGTCTGCTGGATCAACAAGAACATGTTTAAACAAATGTATTTCCTATCCTACTATGAGAGTAACCCCCCCCCCCCCCCCACCCACACCCACACACACACACACAGACACTCAGATAGGGGAAAAGCTTGACCCCACACACGCTGAGTGAAGACAATGACCCAGTAACGGTCAGAGAGTGAACCTGAGAGCAGGAGAGGCTTCTTCTGCTTCACATGTTTGAGTAGATGCTGACACTGATACTGTGTGTGTGTGTGTGTGTGTGTGTGTGTGAACTGCACACCCACACACAACTGTAACCCTATCTACCCACAGGGCCCCATCTTACTACTTCCATGGTCCCTCTGCTGACAGCTGACCATGAGCAGTGATGAATGTTCAGGTCAGGACGTCGGAGATTCTCTCTCTCTCACACACACACACACACACACACACACACACACAAAGAGAGCAGCTGATACACAGGACATGTGTGTGTTCTGACATTAACACATGGGGCAGAGCGTCTGCCTCACTCTTCACACATGAATTAGTGAGTGAGTGAGTGAGTGTCTGTGTGCGCATGAGTAAATGGGTGAGTAAAAGAGTGTGTATTGTGTCTGAGTGTGTCAGTGTAAGTGAATGATAATGTGCGTGAATCATTGGCAGCCATCGTCCAATAGGAAAGTTTGAAGAACATCTGAATTCTTGTTCTCATCTATAATTATGACCAACATCACCATGTCTTTGTTTGTTTGTTTGATTCCAAACACTTTGATCTTGTTTTTTTAATGTCAGCTTTAATGAGAATGAGGTCATCACAGCAGCAGACTAATGACAGTCGTTCTCAGATCTGTTGGTCCGTTCAGGCCAACACTCCCATCTAATCCAACCACAAGTTGTCTTTGTCGTTTCACTAACAAAGGACAAGAACCGAACACCAACACCAAGCTTTGTATTTTGGAACCATCCAGGTTTGTACCCTTTGTAATAAAGTGAGAAAGTGCTAGACTCACCGGCCAGGCAAAGTCGAAGGGAACGATGATCTTCCCGGCCTCGTTGTTGCGGCTCGTTCCTCCCTTCTGTCCTCTAAACTGAAAAGTATTCCCACCGATAACTTTGGTTGTTTCTGAGCCGTAGGTGCAGGGTCCGGTGGTGGTGACCTCCGTCTGGTATTCCTTCACACACACTCTGAAGTAGGTGTCGCACTCATCAGTACCACAGTCCCCCTCAGAGGCGCTTTTCTCTGAGTCACAGCAGTCACCATTCAGCAGCTGACCTCCAGGGTTCTCCACTGACAACAGCTGGAGCTCAAAGTAACCGGTGGAGTGGGACACCTAAAGAAGAGGAGGAGGAGGAGGAATAAATGATGAAGAAACTAATAAAAATGTACTTTATCAGGATAAGCTGTGGGAACAGCCACATCATCACATTAAACTACTAGACCAGACACAAGAGACAGTATCTGGAACTGTTTTTACAACCACTGTAACTATTAAACTGTTCCAAACAGTTACAACAGCAGCACATACACATATTTACATCAGAAGAAACACAACCACATATGGACGACAGCACCAGAGGTTTGCCTCAGGGACATGTACCAGGAACTACAAACAGCACATCCGCCTGTGTGGACTGGAACAGTTCAGGAAACAGCCCTGAAACTGGGAAATAGTCGCCGGAATAACATAACATGTAACGCGGTACCGATTCTGAGGACCTAGAGACAGTACCAGGAACGGTGTGGGTTTCAGTAGAGGCTAACAAATCAAACACTAAAAGTCGTAGTAACTTTACAAATCTACCGTTTGTAAAGAACTCAACCCTGTGAGTCCATGCACAGATTTTCACAGAAATGGTTTTTCTCCTTCTGTGTGTGTGGGTGTGTGTGCAGCTTTGGCGCAGTCTGGCACAACTCAGTTCCAGATCCAGATCTGGATCAGTCTGGATCAGAGTGATTCTGCAGCTGATCTCAATTCAGGTTGCAGCTACAGAAGAGTTTCTCTAAAGCTTCCGTTATTTTATTTTTTTTTATTATTATTTGGACAAATCGCTTTCAACCGAATGAAGGTTTCTTCTGGAAACGTCTTCTCACCACGGTACTTCCGGAAAGTGCGCGTAAAAGTCGCAGTTAAGTAGGAACAAATACACAATACAAATACTTTTGGAGAACAGAAACTTAGGATCACGAGGCTTTAGGCCGTAAATCTGATGATTTCTAAATCCATGTATGTGTGTCTCTGTCTCTCTTTAAACACACGCGCAGGAGCGCGCACTCAGGTATGAACGTGTTCTTTTTTTTTTTTAATTAACGGTAAAGTTTGGACATGTTTTTTCCCCTGGAGACGTTCGTACGATGCGGTGACGAAACAGATGTCACACAAGTGGAATCTTAGTCTTCATTACAAAAAAAAATTCTCTCCTGCACAGGTGAGAAGTGCTGGAGTTTGCGTAACGCGGTTGATGAGGGTGCGCGTAAAGCCAACATTACGCAGTGAACTTGCCAATGGGCTGATTCTTAAGCGATGAAACTATTACTGCATCATAACAGCGGCCGATCTGTACGTCACAACACGCGCTCATGCGTATCCAAGCAACTGATTACACTGGGTTTTTTTCGTCGCCAGAATGGTTTTATTCAGTGAGTTGGTTAAAATGATTATTAAAAAAAAAAACGTTGACTCTGATGACTTGGAGAGAACGGACAATAATACTACTAACAAAACTAATGGTGAGGGTTCGAGACCACAAACTTCTGAAGTCTACAGCCAACTCGCTCACACACAGGCAGCGTCAAGGCTGTTAGTTAGTGCGCGTAATATCCAAGATTACGCACGGGATTTGGCACCGAAGCCGTGCATTAAAGAAACGACCCTTTCACTAGATCATATGGTGTTAAAAAGATTAATGGAATTTGGCGGCAGTGACCAACAACCAATGACGCAGATGCTCGTGTTATTTTAACTACACTGTAAATTTAAATCGTGTTTCATCCCCAGAAGCTCAAATCAACAACATGATCAATAACCTCAAGAGTTTAGAGATCTAGAAATTTAAAATTACTGTACAAACGTATGGCATCTGAGCACAGCAGCAGCGCGCACGCAGTTACGGAGGTTTTGGCAGAGCGTGCGTAAAACACACACACAGAGGTTTGGTGTTTGAAATTCCTAATATTACCCAATCGACCACACAGGATTAAAACTAAAGCCTGACCAGATAATCTGAAAAAAAAATCACCTTAGATCATACCGTCAGGATAACACTGACACACGCGCGCACTGCTGGAGCAGTTGGTGTGTGCGCTTCAATGTCAAAATTACGCACGGAACTTTGGCACGAGATGTTTTCCTTTAGGACTCGTTCAGCGTCTAAACATCCAACAGTACCCAACTTTTACTGTGGTCACCACAGTCACAAGCACGCGCGTGTATTTATGTGAAAACAACCAATGATTGAACAGCTTTGTTTTTGTTTTGTTTTAAACCAGTGTCCATTTCAGACGTGTTTTACGTGTTAGAGACAGGAATGTCTTTGGCAAAGGTAAAAATCCAGAAGGTTTGAAGGTTTAAGACTTGAGTTTAACCATTGAGTATAAAGTAGGTCAATAATAAGTGTGTGTGAAGTTTCAGGTGAGAACAGAAGGTAAAACTCCTCACCTGAGCCTGCAGCGTCAGGACCAAACAGACTAGAGAGATGACGCGCTGCACTTTCCACAGATAATTCCACATGTCTGCGGCTGCGCGCTGTTGGTGACCATCAGGGAAATAGAACCTCAAAGTCTCAATGAGCCAGAACACAAATGAAGCAGAACCAGAATCCTCCTACTTGGAAGGTCCAGGAACATGCGGGGTACGGTAAATCCTCTGACACCGCTGCTGCTGCTGCTGCTGCTGGTTCTGTTGGTACCGTTTGATCCGCGGACGCACGGGGAACAGAGACGCAGACTGCGCTTCTGTGCGCACCTCGACGCAACTGAAGAAGTGCGGAAAAGCTGCAGCCTCCGCCGCTCCAGAGCTGGAGCAAATGATGGACAGTTGAGCCGACCAATCACAACACGGGTGGGCGAGAGTTCTGAAAGGCGGAGGATGATCAGAGGGCGTAGGGAGAACAGCTGATGGATTTACTCCTCTAGTTTGATTTAAATTACATTATAGTACAATTAAAAAATGAATATAAATAAAAACGAGTTTTAACTTCACTTCAGCCAAGGTTTTCCTCAAAGTCAAAATTTTGTAGAATATTTTAGGTGTGTGTGAATGGATACCTTTTGGACAGCAGATACATTTTGTTATTATTATGGAGAAAGTAAAACACGCAATTTGATCTTTTTAACAACATTTCATGAAATTAAACATTCACAATCTACGACAAACGAATGAATAATAACAAATTAAAAATAAACCAAAGTTTCAGGTTGTTGGTGTTTAACAGCACAGTGAGAATCAGCTGTTCACTGATCTGCAGCGGGCAGAAACATGTCTGTGAGCGCCCTCTATTGACCATACCCTCACCGTCAGTGTAACCGTCAAATGTCAAACTATATATTATTGTATACTATACACTCAACTAAAAAAGTAGTTCATTATAAGTATAGTTCACAAAAAGCAGAAATATTAGTTGTTCAATCATGAGTAGAATATTGGAGCCCAAGTTTTGAGGGTTTTGTTATTAACTAATTTGTGCTGTTTTTATTCTTATCTTGTTTGTTACACATTTACACCACCTTAGACCATATCTTCAAATATGTTTACTTCAGTAAATAAGTAACAGAAACACTGAATTTCAAATCAAACCATTTTCTAAATCATTGGAGCAATAAAACAACAACGTGAAGTCTGTAAACTCTCATCCAATTAGGAATAAATCTCAGATTTAAAATAATCTCACACCTGTACAGTGAGTGCTGTAAGAGTAATTTGTTGACCTTACTTTGGCACCGTTAGTTCAAAGCTACATGATTGTTACATAGAAAGGCTCTAAGTCTGTGCGAAAAGTGCTGCACCGTTCTGTGTCCTACATCCAAATTTGAAACTGCAGCTTTCCACTGGTCAAACACAGAGAACAGACAGTGTCTCAGACTCCAGACGCAGCGACCGTCTAACGAGACAGCTGCGTCTCCATGCAGCGCGGGTTGGACCGTGGTGCTGGTCTACAGGACAGACTGCGACAGGTGGAGGGTCTGACGCTCTGCAGCAGATGTTTCCTCCCAGTGAGGCAGGTGCAGACATTTGTACATAGCTGTGTACATAGACATCGTTCACACGACTGCATGCAGACACACTCATTGTCCGCTGGTCGTTATTTTATGATGATGACTGCTCTTATCAGTGGTGATAAGAAAGAAGAAATTAACCTGGAGAGTGTGGTGGTTAATTATCTGCACTGAAGTCTGAACAGGAAGAGGATTAGTGATCAAAGTGATGTTTGATCGTCACATTCATTTTTTTATAAAAGACCCACTCATAAAACAACTGACGTTTTTGTTTTCTCTGCCCAAATGACAGAATGTGTGCAGCCCAGAGCTGTGTTGTGTAATCCGTCACACTGACAGTTGTACTCCACATTAATTTGTTAAGAATGTCGAAGGTGACAGAAATCTGGCTGATCTCCACCAAATGCAAGTACAATCATTTCATATTGTTGCTACATCTACTACTAATCTGCTTCCCACATACACAGGAACACTTACTGTGTGAAAGGTTTTTAAAAGAAGGAAAAACAACCGTGTCAAACTCAATCAAACCAACGACCAACCTATCAACAACTGGTCCAATTAATGATCAGACTAACAGATGACCAGCTGATAATAATAACTTGGTTTTAAAACATACACCTGACCAACAAAGAATCTAATTAACTAATCAGAAAGCTGTCTACACTAACTCTCCTCTCAGGCAAATCAACCAACCAAGCCATCAACAGACAAGTAAAAAAAAACAAAAAACATTATTAACTTTCCACAAAGACTCGGCCATCAAACTTCTATCCTAGGACAACAGAATGTAATTATGAATGTAGAGATAATTAACAAGGACAGAATGTATTGATGAATAAATTTATGACTTAATATGAACAAGATGATAAAACGAGGACAAAGTCAAATTAGAGCTGATTTTGCCAAGTAAACAACATATGACTGAGATCCAATCATAGTGAATACGTTATGGTAGTATAATAAACCTAGGACAGAAAAAAGACACATTAAAACTGGCTGTCAGAATTAACACTGTTGACTGACCATTTGTCCTATCAACCAACTGACATCATGACTACAGACACAGCCATGGACACGTCATCAACCAACCAGCTCATCAATTGACTGCCAGACATCTGACCAGCAACAACTGGTCTGACCTGGTTAAACAAATGTCTAAAGTAAAAACCACAGTACGAAGATGGAGGACAACTGTTCTGCAGTGAGGAGAGGGAGGTAGGAGGAGCAGATCCAGTGGGCGACTGGTTGTGACTGAACCATTTATTCAAACTAAACTCTTCACCAACTACTTTCCTCCTGCTCAGACCTATCCATCGCATCAACCGTCTTGTTTTTCTTCTGCTTTTCAATGAAAGATTCCAACCTGAAACAACACCAGTTTTCCGGTTGTGCAGGTGAACGTCGGAAGGATTAAGAAATGCAGCGGCAGATAAAGTCACATGTGGCTTCACTGGGCCTTTAATGCAGAACAAAGACTAAACAAAAGCTGAGCTGAAGTCTACACACTGATCTGATCTGATCTGATCTGATCTGTCCTGCAGCTCAAATAGAGACCTGCTATCTGCCATCGTGGCACTGTCGCCTCTTATCCTCCTCCTTCTCCTTCTGCTCCTCCTCCTACTGCTGCTGCAGATGCTGCACGACCGACTTAACTAGTTCAGTGGTTGATTAGTCAGTCAAGGTTAAGTGTAGGTCAAGTGTGGGTCAATCATATTGAAATAAAAACTATTTACATTGTGTAGCAAATTAAAACGTGAAGGTCATCAACACTCCTGAGAATAAAGGTGAACATCAAAGTGACTAAATCCATATGGATGTCATCTAAAGTTGACATCCTGGTAAGTCATGGCTAGCATGGTTTTCTAACCCATCGTAAAGGGAGGGATGAGCAGAGGAGTCCGAGCAGTGGTTGTTTATCTGGCTCTGACCCTGGGGTTCGGTGAGTCAGTCTCAGGAGTGGTTGTTTATCTGGCTCTCACCCTGGGGTTCGGTGAGTCAGTCTCAGGGGTCCGGCGGAGGACAAGACACACACTCGACTCATATGATTCATGATGACACGCCCCCCACTTGGACATCAGCGAAGGGCTCGGTGAATGTGCATATGAAACTGGTGGGGTTCAATACCTCCAACAAGGGTTAAGAAGAACTGCTCTAGAGATATAGAGGTGGAAAAGCGAACAAAAGTGAAGCTTAAGGTAACAGGATTAGAGAATAGGAGATAAACTGTATAAAAACTGTAAAAAAAAAAAGTTGACTTAAAACTGCCCAGGGAAAAAAAAGGGTAAAAAAGAGCTAATTATTAGCACTACTTTTACTCACCTCTCCACTGCGACATAGTAAATCAATTAATAACCAACTAAGAGACAAAAGTGAGCTAAGTCAACCCAGACCCTCCAAGAGAAATGTGGGCCACATGCATTCAGCCCACTGTTCAACCAGACATCATTTGGTCCACATTTAGTATTCAAAGGTTAAGACAGACTTGTCTGTGTCTCACTGTAGTATCCAGGATTTGAACAATATATAAAAACTGGTCTTTGGTCCACAACTAGGATGTTGACCACGTTCTTGTGGCAATGGGGTTGATGTGCAAAATCATTTACTGCGTGTCAGACAACACAAACAAATGACATCAGTTCAAATTAGTTCACATTTGTCTAACCCTTAGTTAGATGAGACAAAATTGTCTGGTTCACTTTGTCATGTCAGTGACGTGGGCCCCATTCTTCTGGCTGTGGGACCAAGAGAACATTGGCCATATTCTTTTTTTATATTTACTTAATTAAATGATGAGTTTCTCCCGGTGTACCATCCTCCTGACCTCTGTCTTCACCCCCCACCCCATCTTCCACCACTCATCATGAAGCTACTGTTTGTCATAAAAGCACCCCCGCCCCCATCTTCCATCATGAAGCTACTGTTTGTCATAAAATCAAAGACTAATGTGTTTTGAAAAGAAGGAAAACACGGAACAAGCACAATCGTTCTTAACCCCCAGTCCAGGAGGGAGAAGGGAAGAAAAAAGAAGAGAAGAAGAAAAGAGCTGCCATAGAAACGTTTACAAGTGCCGTCCTGAGGAATGCAAACACAAGCGAGTGCAGCTCTTATCTGACAAAAGAGTAAACTTTAGACCGTCTTGTTACGGCTTGTCTGTGTGGTCGCACAACGTCAACACAGCCGCTCACAGCAGATCAGTTTCTCTGCAGGTCCGATTGTTTTAAGTTTTTTTTAAATCCCTTCAATAACCCAGCAACTGCTAATCCTGTTTACAGCAGCAGCCCAGGTGGAGCCCAAGTCTGCACAGTCACACACGCCCACATTCACACACTAAGTCACTCACTGCCTTGCTCAGGGGCATCTGAAGCGGATGATGGCCTTTAAGGAGTGGAGAGAGTTGCTCATTCAACCATAGGTTCCCACACTTGTGATGATACCCAGAATCACAGCTGTCACCGTGGAAATGACTGAGTCACATCACAGGTTTGAACTTCACTCTCAGCGGCAGGGATGTGTTAAATTCCCAATAATTTGAACATCAATTATTTTGGCAAGAACATGTGGCAATAACCCAATCACTTGATGCACATTTGCCTGTAGATCAACCAGAATGTTCTGGGGTCAACTCCAGACTCCAAGTTTAAACACCACATCAATATCACTGACTGTAGGAAAACCATCATACTGTAGTCATTAAGATGAGAAATAAGTAAAGATCATTTAACAAATGTTCTTTGAAAACAGTTCAGTCTGAACAATTGTTCAGATAATAAATTACATTTACAGTCCTGCTGACTGCAACAGTACTGAAACCATCCACTACCTTATTTCCGCATCGATATAGTAATTTTAATTCTTAGAGAAAAATCTAGATCAGTTGTGTTTGACCAATAGATGGACTCAGTTTGATGACTGAGACATGGACAAGCATCAGATCAGTTGTTTTTACCAGACTAAAGGGGAAAAGTTAATCCTTTGGAGTTTTCTATTAGAATTTAGATTGGATTTTAAAGTCTGATTTAGTCTGATTCACAGTAAGTGTCCTGGTTGGTACAGTCGATGGACCAAAGCCAGAGATTTGTCAGATTTAAGAACAGGAGCAAACACATCAGGCAGTGATGTCACACTAAGGACTGAAGCCATTCTGAGCTGAAGGACTTGAAGGCAAACACCTGACACACACACACATTACTGCACTGATTTATGACAAGTGTGTATGTATTTCTCAAGCTTCCCATAAAATATACACTACTATATCTTTTTGATAATTGTGATGCCTAAAAATGTTGATATGATCAACACTGCCTATACTGGGTCTGAAAATAGGTTTTCTAAGTAAATCTCCCCTTCCATATATTAATAATAGTTAATTAATCCTTTTGGGGTAATTGTTGCTTAAGTTATTAGAAAGATTAATAGTTTTGTAATAACAAAGAGCTCAGATTCAATGTTTACATGAGCTGTGAAGCTGCCAATTAAGAAGTCCTTTGTTAACATGTAACTTGAACTGTTAAGGTGTTTGTGATTGAAAAAGCCTTGATTTCAGTAAATATGACCTCCTAATCCTGCAAATTTAACAAATAAACATTTTCAGTCATTTTCAGACAGCTAGCAGCATGATGATGGAGGAGAGGTAAACTATCAAATTAGGGATATGACGATTCATTGGGAATCAATTAAAAATCGATACAATTGTGTGACATTTTTCATCGGTTGTAAAAAAAAAAAGTGAGTAGTGCATGTTACACAAAAAGTCAGTGATCATACCATGAGACTATATACTCTAGTAAAAAAGGTGGCAATAGGTGCCTTAAATGGTAAACTGCCAATGGTATTTGCATAGTACACACATGAAGAATCATTGTATTTTATATTTTTTCTGGAGGTCATTTTGTTTCAACAAAACTTCCATCCATCCATTTTCTTCCACTTACCCATTACCAGGTCACGGGGGCAGCAGTCTCTATGACCGCCACCCAAATCACACTGCACCGTACCAACCCCCCTGAACCTTCCTGCGGTTGGGGGGTGCACTGGAAGGGACCAACCACCCTGACTGGGATTTGAACTTGCCCACGAGGTGAACCCTGGGGTTCCACACCAATGACAGAGACGTTGCCACTGGGCCAAAGCGCCACCTGATAGAATCTTATCACAAACAAAAAATTACAAATCATATTATATCAAAAGTTGAGTGTATCGTTACATCCCTATATCGAGCATGAAAAATTTGCATCGAGCCATCCAACTTAAATATAAAGTACTTATAAATGTATCCAGGTGGGAAACACATACAGCCAATGGTAACATGAACTATTCAGTTTCTTGACCAGTTTTATTGAAAATTCCTCTTCAGAGGTAATCAATCATAAGATTTAAAGTCAAATCTAACGGGCATTAAAAACATGATACTTTGCTTTTATAAAGGGACAATTCATTAAAAACCACATGAAGCAGATTTGCTGGTCTCCATCACACTCAGGAGCCTCCCTGTGGACACACCTATGTGTTCAAATCCCTCACATGTGGCTCAGGTGGATTTTCATAAAGACATCTCTCACTGCTCTGGTCTTTTCACACTCTGACTGATGGCAGGCCTGCTGCACAGTGTCTCTCACCCTGCCGCAGCTCGGCTCAGGCTCTGATTTCAGTGCTAAAACCCTCTTCACAAGACCAAAGAACAAACATAACACACACACAAAGCAGGTCCCTGTCATCTAACACGGCAGCATATGGGCCCCAGTTCCCACACCCAGATCCATGTAAACATCTTATTAAGAGCTGCAGGGTGGGGAGCCCTTGGCCATAAAGGAGGGGAACAAAACACTCTGACACACACACACACACACGCACACAATGTCATTAGAGCGCTGTGTGAGATTGTTGGCTGAAGGTGCTGCAGGTTCTGTGAAGCTGCAGGTAATCACTGCAAATTAATACCTGCACAAACTCAAAGAGTCTTTCTGTGAAGTCTGAGGAGGAGGAAGGAGGTGAGGCTTTAAAAAAAAACAAGGCAGAGGTGAGGCTCCTGCCTGCATCCTGATTATCTGAGTTCCATCAGCTTTTAGATGAAGTGGAGTGCAGAATTTTCAACAACTGAATGGGTTAAGGTGCACATATTTGAACGTGGTTTTGCACAGTATGGGTTAACATAAGCTTAAAGGTGTAAATTGGGGATGCTCAAACAGATACTCAGTAATGGTGTATGCTGGAGGAGAAAAGAATGATAGCGATGTTAGATAGTATTGGTATGTAACATCTTCACCTATGGAGATGCCTGGGCCCAGCGGCCTTGTAATCAAATATCTGCAGTTTGAATCCCAGCAGGCCTTGGTGTATTGAAAAAAAACTACTACTCCATCCCTCTGTGCATTACCTATGTTTATCCATGGATTCCTTCTGTCTGGTGTGGAACCAAAACTATGTTTCACAAATAAGTTAAATGCAGAGAGTAAAGAAATAAGAGTACTGCAGTACTGAGAAATAAAAAGACTATTTCATAACAAATCACCACAGACCCCTGTATAAATGTTAAAAAACGTTTTCCATAGAGAAGCAGGTCTGGTTGTTATCTTCATCACAATCTGATTTTCTCTCAGCACCTTCTCCTTGTGTGGTTCATCTGATGACTGTCTGCAGACAAACCAACACTTTCCCTGTGTTCACTGCTGCCTGTGTGTGAATACACACGTGTCAGCCTCTGATGTAGAGATGAAGACACAGAGAGGAAACCACCAAGATGAAGGAGCCAGCATATATCCAGACTAAAATATTTTAGATTTCAGATATAACCGAGTACTACAGACTCACCACAGGAGGCAGCATTCCCCTGCACCAAAGTCCTTAGAAAAATATGAGAATTTTGAATTAGCAAACGCAGTAGTTGTCTTTCCATAGGTGTCTCCGCTTGTCAAGCCAACAATTAAATTTGGTTACTTTCAGAAAGTGTTTCCAGTAGGTTGTGCTCGGTGACACAAACTGACCACAGGAGGCAGCAATAGACCAGCAGCTCTTGTTTTTCTCTATGAACTAAAATCATTGATTTTCTTGGTAAACATTGATCTGTGGCCAGAATCACTGATCTTTTCTTTGAGTTAAAATTATTCATTCTTCTATGGACTTTCAAGACATTTCAGAATTAGCTGCTTACAACCCAGAGGGTCTTGTAAGGAAAACCTTGTCCATGATATAGCAACATTAACAAATTATAAAATTAATCTGAACTTAATTTGTGACATTGTGGCATTTAGTGAATTATTGTTTTTTCTTGACAACCATGTTTTCTATGAACACACACTGACCTTGTTTGTTGTCACTCGGATGTTGAGATGATCCTGCCTCCTTCTAAGTTTCAGCGGAGGTGCGTGTCTTTGATGTGCCTGGAAAATGACCAATATCAATATCAGAGCAGTCATTTCAGCATAAACCATATTTAATTAAAACAGAAAACATGAATCTTGACTAAAAGCCTAAACAGAGGCTTGAGATGCCTGTAAAATTACTGTGAAATCAAAGAGATTAAAGCTGTAGTTAAGTGTCATTCACATCCTTGACTTTTTGTTTGAGAATTGACTGCTGTCATGCAACAGCAGCCACAGCACCAACATGTCGGAGCCTAATGATGACCCGAAGAATGTCTTCAGTCCCAACACGTTAGCTTGTCTTCCTCAGTTCTCTGCTTTTTCCTTTGAATTCTTTTCTTTTTTTCCTATTAAAACTGTACCTGGAACAACATCCTGGCCTCAGTGGGAGGCCAGCCTGGATGCGGGAGAAACTTCACTCTCACCACCACCACCACCATCACCACAATGACATGTAGATGCTTGACTGCATTTTTGTGGAGGTGGACATATTTGCGTTGAATCACGCACATATTTCTGGCTACAATCAATCCCAGGTTCCAGAGGTGACAGGAAACAAGCTTTTCTGGCCAATCTCGGGTCATCAAAGTGTTTCCTGTCATCAACATCCTCACCAAAATGTGATTGTAATGGATATTGTTTGATTTTGTTGTATTCTACTGGCCATATATAAGAAATGGACTCAGTTATACAGTGTCCAACCATGATGGTATACTAAAGTCCCAGAAAACACCAGAAGGTCTTCATTCTTTTTTTATAAAACTGCTAGAATTAAAATATCAACAAAGACTTTCCTCAGATCAATTTAACTAAAGTCTTCGTCATTATTACTGGAGCATGGAGTTAATACACTGTTTTCCTGTTCGAAGGGAGGGGAGAAAGAGGACAAATCCAACAAAAAAAACCTATTGGCCAACTTCAACTGTTGGATTTTTTGACCCTAACTCCTACTGGACCTCTCTTCTTCAGCAGCTCTCTTTAGTTTCCTCTACAGTGGATCATCTGTTTCCATCACACACACCAAACATATTCAAGTTCTCCCTCACGTACCCTTTACCTCTTGCATGGCATCTCTCTCTCTCTCTCCCCCTCTCCCTCTCTCTCTGTCTCATCTATCATCCAATCTCCCCATCTTATCTCTCCATCTGCGTGCTCTTAACACCTCCTCTGGTCTGCTCATTTCTGATTCTGTCCAACCACAAGTTCACAAACAGCCCTTCTACGGAACCACACTCACACAAACATTAGGTCATCAACTGGGCTGTTAGGGTGGAGCAGTATAGGACTGAAAATATCTGCTCATGCCTCCATCACTCTTCGTCTGACCGGCCACAGCGGTGAATGTGTGTATGCTGTTGGACTGTGGAGGTTTTTTCTTTTCTACAGCCCACTGTTAAATGATTGAAGTGTCCTTTCACAGCCAAACTGACCATTGTTTCCACAACAATCCTCCATCTGACACAGGAAGTGATACACAGGACACAAACACAATGACCAGAGCGGCTGCTGCTCAGTGACAACACAACCCTGGCTCCACACAGCAGTGGGAAAAGTTTACACACACACACACACACACACCGGGGAAACCTTCTAACAAACATAAAGTAGATGTAAGGACGTCTTAGAAGTGAACATTTTTTAGTTTAAACAGCTCTGCATTTATAAAAAACTAATGTTGGTCTGGTGACTTCATGAAACCAAAGACCTTCAGATGCTCTGGCTCTGATCCATACACAGGACACTTCTTGTCTAAATTCCACCTTAACCTTCCTCCAGAGCTTAATACCTTAGTCCTGTTATTAGCTTAAATCTTACCTTAAATAAACTTAACGTAACTAAACCCTGGTATAATTACAGCATATGTGAAGAGGCAGGTATGAATTATCACATTCATTTTATAAATTAATTAATTGTTTCAAAAATGATAAAGCCAAATAAAAGCAAGTGCAATTAAAAGTACATTTTATTATCCATTAATTCAAATTCACAAATTGTATTAATAATTAATATACAGTTGAATATTAATTTAAATAAAATAAAACAGTTGCATGTTTGTCAGACTGGACGTTTTACTCAAACTCAGCAGCACAAAAATCATGAAATTTGAAATGACTTCAAAGTGGTGTCAAAAATCGGAAAAATAAAAATGACTCCTGACAAGTTCAGAAGGACTGATTGGACTGTCTTGAACCTTGAAACTATAATAAACCTATCCCGTTGCTTGTTAGAGTGAAATGACCAGGAAGACTGATAATTGACATTGACAAATTAATCCAGTTTTTAGCAGTTTCATGTTTGAATTGAATACTGTTATTATTAATGTAGAAGGTCGGAGCCAAAGCTCTGGCATGACCTTGACACTCGTTTGGCTCACAGTAGGAAAAGAAAAGAATAAGGAAGGCCATTTGGTAGGAATGCCAGCGGAATTCCCCGGAATCTCCTCTCCTTCCACATCCACCCCCTTTTCCATCACTGCTCACGAATCCATGAGGAGTTTTTAAATTTGCAGTACAATGGCCTAAGAGGGAGGCTATTCTGTGACCATAATGCAAGGAAACGTTACCTCAAAAAATGTCAGGAGCACAGAGAGGCCCTCGCTGTTGGAACAATCAGGGAGGAAACCCAGGCAGGTGCCCACCTCCTGTAAAAATATCCCACTGAGAAGAGCTGAGGAGAGGGGTAGGCGGTGGAGTGGGATCCTGTCTATATTTATGGCAGAAATTTAAGCTGAACATCACAACTGTAACAAGTTACACTGCAGTAATGTCTCTGACACAGCAGCAGTTGACTGACAACAAATCAGTTTTAAAACATCTACAGTTTTATTGACATTTCATTGACTAAAGCTGGATAAAACTTGATCAACCATTCAGTGGTATGCTGTTGCTTCCCTCTTCTGGCTGTTCTTTCTCTTTTTGTCATCAATAACTTTCTCTATTTTGAGCAGATTTTATGTTTAAGTAAGTGAGTTCAACTTGAGCTTCACCTGTTTCTTACACCAACAACCACCAGTGTCAATCAAACTGCATCGATTGTCAGTTACCGCATAAAATACAACTTCAGAAATCAGCTTCTGTCAGCGTCTGTCATGTGGATACTTTCAGCCTGCTCTCCATACCGACTAAAAAAATTCCAGTCAGTCAGTGACTAATTATTAAACTACCACCTGCAGATTTGCGTTTATGACTCAGACCAGCTCAACATGGCACCATCATGTTCTTGTCTTTTTTCTCCTAATCCCTCCTCTCTTCAGGATCGTAATCCACAAGACCCTGCTACAAAAACAAAACAACACCCACAGCCCACCCCACTTCCTGCCTCAGACACCACTCTAAACTCGTGTATCCTCTGATAAATTACAGGGATGTTACACATATCTCGTACTGTATTTTCTTTTCTTTTCTTTTCTTTTTTTTTCTGGTTGGTGGTTAGTTTTTATCCAACATAATGAACAGTCTGATGTCCCTGGAGAGACGACGGGGATCAAAACTCTGTTGGCCTCCCACAGGACTTCCTTTAATGTCTTTGTGTGCACGTGGATTTGATATCCTCCCCTCCTTTAGATCAGATCCCACTGCATCCATTAGGCACAGAAGGCGGTTAATATGTCTCTACAGAGGGAGGAGACCCCCAGATAAAGGTCCACACCGACTTATTATGATCCTCACTCCAGACCTGCTGCCAGTCGGCTTTCTTCTTCAGGAAACTGCTCTATTATCCATTTAACTTTTTTGATACATCAGTATTTCTGTTTGGAGCTCTTGAAAAAATCATGTAAAGTTGTAATCACTGTGAGAATGTTTACACAATCTTTTGATTAATTGTGATTAATTGTCATTAATCATATTTGTCATTAGTCATGATTCGCCATGATTAATTTAGATAAATCGACATTCCTAAATATCACGAGAAAACTATTTTTCTTTGTATTCCTGAAAGAGTAATGTAAATAACAGGATGTAGATGTACAGTATGTGTTCCACACCTGCTTTATTTGTGATTTAACCAAGTTATGGGATTATCAATCTGGAAAAATGTCGGAAAAAAATACAATAGTAATACTCAAAAAAAACTCTAGCTTCTTAGAGTTGGTGGAGTTTAGTCTTTACTGTGCATCTTAACGGTGGTTTGAGATCACAGCCAGTTTCTTTGGTGAAGCTGTTGTTCTCAACAATACTAATCAGTCTCTCACACATTTGACAATTGTGTCTGTCAGCTTTAGCTCGTCAGCTGTAGACTCACTTTTCTGACCCAAGCCAGGCGTTTAACCTGGAGTTTAAGTCTCCATAAACACATTAATGGTTTAAGTTTGAGGTTCTTGACACAAAAACATTTTCCCAGAATGTGTGTAAATGAACATCTGTTATTGGATAACCAGTTCAACCCATGGGTTAAATACATAACCATTTAAATCTGATTAGACAAATTAGTTAACAAGATGGACATGTTCATTTTTACAGCCATGGTTTTCACAACATTTAGCTCGAGCTAGGTTTGCTTTTAGTCATGTATCACGTTATCTATTTGTTGCCAACCTTTGAGCATTTCTCCTGTGATTCCACCTTTGTTCAGCCTTTTATGTTTCTTTTGTCGTTCTTATAAAAATAACCTCAAAAGAGCCTTTACCATTTTGAGGTTAAGGACACATTTATGAAGCTGAAAGTCAGAAGGCCAAAGCTGTGTATATGTGATCATGGGTGTTTGGGTGAGCTTTAATAAGGGAACAGGATCTCCTGAAGGAGCAGCAGCACTATTGTTAAAACCTGGAGTTTTTTGACTGACAGGCGAGCTCTGGAGTTTTCTTAAGAAGGTGGTGACCTGGGCCAAATATGGGCGACTTCAGCTAAAGGAAATCACACTTTCTCCTACAAGATCTCAATCTGACGCAGCCTACTGCCTAGTACAACAAAGCAACTGTTGATAATGGGAGTGGACCTCGTTGTTCTGCACCGGTCCGGCCCGGTTCCGAATTGTACGCCTGGTTAGACTGATAAGCTGCTGGAAACAAGATCGTGACCAAGAGATGGAAAACCGCTAAATGAAATGTTCTCTGTTGTAAAGAAAAGGACTTGTTCCAGGAAGGAAGGGTGAGTCACTGAAGGTGTGGTGCGGGGGCAGCTACTCCAAAAGGGTTCTTCATCCAAGGATTAGCTAAAGTAAAATGTAGGAACAGGAGATAAGAATTGTAGGAGGGGAAAAAAACAAATGGAATGGATGGATAGTCTAATTCCTGTTGCTTTCAACACATCTTTTCAAAACTCTAAGTTTTTAATAAACTACTCTCTTTATCGGTCTCAACAGCAGATCACCTGCCTCAATCTTAGCCTACCTAGTCAATCCACCATTAGTGTCACACCAGACTTCCTCAAGTCCTTGTTCACTCCATCTTTTACTTTTAGTAATATTTTGTCCTGCATCACCACAGTACAAAACAATCTCAGGAGTGGCAGATGAGTACACAAAGGTGGTGGTGGAGCAGATGCATTATATAAAAATAGCTTTAAAAAACACATTTACATATTTGGTTTCTTAATATTTTGTCAAACATATTCCTCTCCATTGGCATAAAGATGATTTCTCTTCAATTTTGCAGTTGCTTTTGATTTTTTTTAGTCTACACTTCTGTAATTGATTATCCTACAGCATATTGAATTGTTGTGAAGCCTGACATACACACATTGAAGACATCCATGTTGTCTGGGGTTAATTGTTGGTCTAGGTTGAGATTACATTAGAATTCATGTAAAGTCAATTTCAAGAAACTACTCAGGTATATGAACCACGGGTATTCTGTCCAGAGCTGGGGCTAATTCCTAACCCTGACCTGGAACTTTATCCTCCCTGTGTCTAAGCAGACGGAGGAGGGTGAGTGTGAGTCGACCACTATCGACTACAGCCTAATTACAGAGGCCTAACTGTGGGACACACAGACAGGAGACATGTCTGGACATGTGGACTGAGTGCAGCACTTAGAGGCCCCCTGATACACACAAGCGCGCACACACACCATCTTGAATGGTATAGGTTTTGTAGTTGATTTAAGTGTTTTTAGTTTATTTCTGGAAGTGGTTTTAAATCATATTAAAGAAAACAATTGAAACAATAATAAGAGGAAAATTAATTGACTATTTTTTCTAACCTCTGACAGTTCAACCTTAACACAGCTAAACTTGTTCCTCGACTACACCGAGAATGACAGTCATTGTCAGAATACTGTAAGACGGTCCCAGAAATGAGACTTGTGAGCCGATGTGGTTACCATTTTATGGCTAAGGTCGTTTTTAGTCCACACGGACACAGTAGCTGCTGATCTATGCTGCCTCCTGTGGCCAGACTCTGTCACTGAGGTGAATACCAAAAAAACATTTTGAACATTGGAGTTACATAACAACACATCTGTCAACATCTGCTATGTGGTGTGGTGTTAATTAGATGAAGGATATTGGACTAGAAAGTTCGGAGAGAAGCAAACATATGTTTCTCTACAAGAGGGCAAACTGTCCACTACAGTCCTCATAATTGAACCGCTGCTTGACAGGCGTGCACATGTGAGCATGTCCGTGCACTTGCATACAGCCCAGCTGCTTCACATTGGCCGGACATAGATGAACGGTTTCTGACAGACACTTCAAACCCCTCCTGAACCTTCTCCACCGTGTGGCCTCGCTGATAATGGGAACATGATCGTAGGGAGAGCGGGCAGCGGGTGGTACTGAGGGGAGGAAGAGGAGGAGGTGGTGGTGGAGGTACGTGGTCCGTCTTTTGTGAGAAACTCTTCAAAGCACTGGCCTCTCCTATTTGGCCACTGGAGCTCTTTGTAACGGTATCCTCCACTGTCATTTTGCCCCTTTTATTTTTAGGCAGGGCTATTATTGCTCCCAGACCCCTCACATACCCTCGGGCTTTGTCTGCAGGGACGGGGTCAGGTTTTACTTTTTTTTTCCCTTCACCACGTTCACAACTGTCTTTTCTTCCTCTCCTATGTACAGAGGGATGGATAATTTCAGGTCTCAATGGGACCAGAACAGGAATTTTCCTCTGTCCAATGTCCTGAGGTTGGAATCATTTTCATTTATCTACCAGGAGGTTGAGGGTTTGATCCCAGATTTGATCCCTGCTGTATGTGTATAATAAACTCCAAGTATCAACAACATTTCCACATCAAAATCTGACTCAGCAATTTATTACTATGATTGATTCCTATGAAGACATTCAGAACATATGGAGGACAGTCTAGTAAATGTTCAGCCAGGGACAAAGCTCCACAGCACTGTGTCACTGCATTTATATGAAAGACAGCATGGTTCTCTGAACACTTGTCATTCCTGATCTGGAGCCAAACGTTTTTAAGACTGTTTCATCCTAATCCTCATCTGTGCCAGACACCTTGATCGAACTTTTGTCAAATGTGATGAAAGCTGGTTTGGAGTCAGCTCTGATCCATATGAGATGATGACACACAGACCTTAGATCTGCCAGGATTAGATCCAGACCTCAGTCCACAGCTGGGACTCTTACTATTCCATTATTTCTTCATCTCTCAGTGAAATTCCTAGAGACACATTGAAGAGGAAACAGGTGGAATGTTTTTGGATGAGGTTGTTTTTGGATTAAACAATGGCTGATGCTTTATCAAGACAAAGTTGTGCAGCTCCTTCTTCCTGTTGTCCTGTCTGAATCATCTCCAGCCTGTTTGTGTGAACACTTCCTGAGCTATGGTGCTTCAGCAGTACATTCCTCCCCCTCCTCTCTTCCCCTCCGCATCATCAACCTGCTCCCCCTGTAATTTCTGACACGAGCAGATGAATAATAGATCAGAGGCTTTAGCTGCCCTGTAACTCTACCCCCGGTGGCAGGACAGGAGGCAGGCCAGCATCTCTGGCCAGCACAGGCCACGTGACCATTCACTCTGACCGCTGAGGAGTGAAAAGCTTCGTTATGACCAACATATGGCTGATATGAAACTAACCACAGGCCTCTGCCCACAACTGTGTCCTGGGTGATCATCCAGCTGCTCTGGTGAGCACAGCTGTAGAGGCTGAGAGACCACAGGCTGTTCAAGAGAGCACTCAGACCGAGAATAAGAAAGTGACACAGACATCTGGTTTGTGGAGAGGAGCCAAGGAAGTACTGGGGTGTGAATAGGTCTTCTGTCACGCCTTGTTTTTTAACATAAAATATTTTCAATTTTATTTGCAGGTACGTACATCTCACCAAGCTTCCTATAAAACATTTCCAAGGTGCTTCACAGACATTGTTTGTTTCTTGACCCCCAGCTTATTACAAACAGAGAAGATAATGATATGATCCAGGTTTAGTGAAGTTCAATCCTGCTCTAACATTATTCCTTGAGTATTTTTCCACACGATCCAGTTCCCATGAGTTTGACATTATTATACTGCTGAAAAGTCAAGAAGTCATTGTCAAGAAAGTTTCTTCAGAAGAAACCAAACTTCTCAATGATTATATTCCAGGACTTTTGACAAGCTCCCTAACACTGATAGCTGAAATGCAGTCCCAAACTATTCCAGAGCCTCCTCCATTTGTTAAGTCATGGATGTGATTGGCCTTCTTTGTACGTGACGACTCAGTTTACAACTACAACCTTTGAACTTTACATTAATCACGCTTTGACACACTTCACCAATGATATCCAGTCTAAAGTTCAGGCAATGGTCTGCCACTACTTCATAATTGCTGGCACTGCTTCAGAATTGGGGCAGATGCACAATAGTGGTCTGAAGTGTTTCAAGCTGCTGGTCAGTGCTCAGTTAATCAAAAAACAACCATGCAATGAGAACAAATCACTTCATCAATATTCAATTAAATCTATACTCCCCAGAGTGTTAATATTAAAGTAGTATTAATCTACTGTGAGTATCGCAGAGGTGAGGATGACAGATCAGATTATAACTGCTTACAGATGAACTAGTATTAAATACTTTGTGAACCTTCCCAGTCAAAATGCATGCAGCTGAGTTTAAAAGTGTAACAGAGAGACACACCTTTTAATTAATTATCATATAATTGATATGTTGTATACAAAAGTAGAAATGTCGTGATTTTTTCACATCATAACATTTTCATGTTCAGCCGTTTAAACCCGTAAGTTTTTAGCTGTACAACTTAGCTTACCGCAGAACAGCACCGTCGTCAGCCACAGGGTCAGGTGAAGGCCGTGCCGTGGCTGCGTCTAAGCTGCCTGCTTTCTTTGTCTTTGTGTCTCTTTTCCGTTTCCTTTCACTCTCTTATCCCACGAGTAAATAATTACCAGCAACTTTATTTACCAACAACGGAAAATAACCGATAATTAACGTAATCGACAACTTCCGCCAAAGAGGCGGTGCATTTAAAAGTCTGATTGGACCCGCTCCCTGTCAATCAATAAGCTAACCAATCGGCCGCGGTTTATAGACCAGTGGTGAAGAAATAAACGCCTGAGGGTTGTTATAATTATGACCGGGCCACCTACCGGACCGCCGATTTTTAGACCAGTCAGACGAATAAATAAACCAACTGTGTCGCGTCCGCCTGCCCACTACCTGGGTTGAAGGGGGTGGACAGCAGCACCCCTTCCTCAATAATGTACGGGAAACAGGACCACGTTTTCAATGGGACTATAGACAGTCGGCTATATACGTCATGATGTCCTGAGAAATTGAAAATTAGTATGAATAATATTAATTTTAATATGAAAATTAACGTGAAGTTAAACAGTCAACAGTTGTTCCTTTAATTTATTTAATTAATTGTGTATATATATTTATGTATATATATTTGTATGTGTGTATATATATATACATATATACATACATATACATCTCTCTTTCTCTGTGTGTGTATGTGTGTGCTAAATATAAATATCTCTTATTAACTCATAAGACAAGTGACAGAAATAGACTGGCAGGAAGAGCAGAGGTGGGGGAACAGAGCAGGAAGGGGCTGGGGGGGCTGGGCTGACCTGCTTTAAAAGAACCTAGCAGAAACATCGATGTATATACATTCATACATTTTTGATCTGATCTGACCCAGTTTCTATTAAGGCTTAGGACGGGCCTTTTGTGTACTATTACAACATTTGACCTACTGTTGTCTGAAGCTAAAGTGGTCTAGCCCTGTCCCACATCTATTAGGCTGCATGGACTGTAGACTGCATCCCAGTCAACAGGACAGGCCTACTAGAACTCTAGGCAGAAACATGATCTGAGCCTCCTTTTAAATAAAGAGTCGATGACAAGAGAATTGGACCTGATTCACACACTGACCAGGGGATAAAGAGGCACATGCTTGGATACTCACACAACAAATGCAACGAGCGCACACACACGCACACACACTCACTGACACACACACAGCTCCCTCTGTGGACAAGATCAGGTTTCCCCTCTGTGTCCAGTGGCTTATTAAACATTAAGCTCAACAGCTTCCCTACAGGAGGGGAGAAAACCCCACCACCACCACCACTACCATCACCCATTGCCTCCTCCTCCCCCAGCCTCCCCTCTCTCATTACAGCTGTTGAGGTATGAGACAACAGAAGCGCGGCCACAACAATAAGAACCCGGGGCCGTCAGCCAATGGCTGCACTGGCTGCAGCATTCTCCCGGTGACAGCAGGCAGACCTGGGAGGAACAGATAAGCTCTGTTCTTTCATTTCTCCAAACAGGAAATTTAGCTTTTCATGTGACGACAAACAGCACCCAGGTGAATAATGCACAGGTGTACAGGCACACATCATACACATACACACACATCTTAAATACCAATGCTAGCGTCATTCTATTACATACACCTGCACACAAACACAGATCAAATTGCATTTTACTATTATGTATATTGGACATGAAAATGTAACTTTTGTATTACTGTATTCATTTCTTACTGGAATAACTTTTAGCTAACTGTTTTATTAGATAACTTTGAAGCTATGCTAATTCAAGGCCAATTGGTTACTAGACAAATCTTCCTGGTTACTTTTAAATAGTTTTTAAGCCACTTTACTTACACATTTTGGCTATTTTAGCTTAAAGCTATTTTTCACATACTGTTCTGATAAAAAAAGGCTTTGTATGGTTTGTTTATAATATAATATGAGGACAATCCTTTTACAAAGTTTTAAAAATATGTTTATCATCATGACCTCAGCAGAATCCAGGTTTGATGTCAGTGTGTGTCAGACGATACTCACGTGTGGTTTGGTAGTTTGACACCTGACAACCGGAAACAAGCGTGTGTGCGTGTATTTGTGCGCATCCAAAGCCTGCCACTTTGACCTGGTCAACAGCGCCACCTGCTGACATCAGTAAAGGGCTGACCTTACATTTTAGATATCCGACGCTGTCTTCCTGTTTTATTTAGTAAATGTTTTGCAATATTGTTATATGTATGCACAGCTATTCTTTCCCATTAAAAAAGTATCTACGTTTCTTATTCCTTATATATTTGTGCATATATACATATTTATAATGTATATGTTGTGTATATATATAATCTATAAGTGTATCACTCTCCTTATGTATAATCTAAGTATTTCTAACCTTTCCACAAAACATACAATGAAAACAAACAATAATTTGTAATTTCTTTATCTTAAAGTTGCAGTGTTGTCTTCCTACCACTTAGCGGTGCTGTCTTACTATCTTTATACATTGTACACAGCACGGTGTAACTGTATTTGATAACTTAGAATTCCAGATAGGTTAGATGATTCTTGTTACATGGGTCATGTTCAAACAGACAGGACCTGGTCCACATCTGGTGTCCAGTATATGGTCCACGGTTTCCTAAGTCCATGGTATTATATTATATGTAATATATTAGAAAAATGGTTTAAAAAAACATCATTAAATACATGTATATATTCCACAACCTCATTTACTGGTGAAGTGCTAATGATGAAGCAGCTCAGCTATGGTTCTGGAACCTGATGAGGACCAGGCTGGTGGAGTTCTGGTCCTGAGGCAGAGCCAGATGAGAGCAGAGACCTGAACCTCATTAATCGTCTCCCGCGGTGCAGACTATTCTGCCAGTGTCAGTGGAGGCAGCAGAGTGGAAACAGAGGACATGTCTCCACAGGAGGAGGAAAACAGTGGCAAGAGCCAACACTGGAACTCAGCGCTAACTCCCTGAGTCTGTGTCGGTTACAATTATAAAGATTTACTGAAAAGGAATATTTAAAAAATCATTTAAATATATATATTTAAGATTGTTTTGGGAATATCCAGACAATATCAGACAAAAGACCCACGAGCAACTGTCTATCTGTCTGGAAAATTATACAGTCCACATCGTGTCTGTACAATGTGGGCCACATGTCAATCCTCAACCAAGTGTGGTGACAAAATGTTAAATGTAGTCAATTAGCATTATTATCCAGAAAAAAATTAATCTTGATGATTACTAGGCCAAAAATAGTTGTCACACGTGGAATGGCTGAATCTCTATTTCGCCTGTTGGCCCAGTGCGGCCAAACCCAGGATGTGTAGATTAACAGATTTTATTGGACTAAAATCTAGTCTGAGAACCAGATGTGGGCATCATCACCTGACAGAGAGACTAAGTCTGTATCCTTCACTGTTTGTTTGAGACACTAGTTCTCCGACCTTCAGTTCAGGAGTTGTCTGCCGTAAGAAAAGTGACATTAAAATGATTACTGCCACACTATCAAAGTTCACGTGGGATGTGAACCAAACCAGAGTGCCAGAATCGTTTATCCACACTGCAGCAGCGGCAGTGGCAGTGGCAGTGGCAGTGGGGGGCTCAGCACTTTGCTCAAGGGCACCTTGGCTGTAGTTAATGAAGTCAGGAGGAGGTAAATGCTGCTCTAAGCCTCAGACAGTAAACAGAGCAGTAAAACCTGATTCCCTGCATTTACATGTGTGTATTCTGCGTGGTGAACCACCTACAGTAAATATATGGCCACCGCAGCGCTGCAGAAACCATCGGTCCGACCTTGGTCTGCAGTTTAACTTAGATAAAGCAGTGCAGTAAACTCACATCGACATTAATAAGAGGAGGACAGAGAGAAGGAGACACGGAGGAGCCGCACAGTGTAGTACTACACAGTATAACACAGTACAACAAACTGAGCCAAGAACTCAGACCTGTACTAGGTTCTGTGTATCTGTGGAGCAGGGACGGTGACACAAACAGGTCACACTGAACTAATGAATGAGTAACAAGAGCGGAGCTCTTTACACTAAGGTGGATTCTTTTCTCAATGACAAAACTGCTGTAGTTTTTTGTGCTTTTGTCATGTCCTGATTTTTTTTTTCAGGGGCAATCATTATATTGGTATCTTTTCCAATTTGATTTGTATTAACTAGAAAAAAGTATTATGCTTTTTTCAATGCTTTGTCTGGTTATTTTAGGTTTTTTATCTTTACATTGCTGGATTTTGACATAACTAAACTATGGCTAATTATTATCCTAAAATATGAAGCAAACCATCAAAAGCTCAATGGATATTGTATTATAAATAACTCGTACATAAAAGGACAAATAAAATAAAACACAGCTAATAAAATCCAACTGTAAATATGTCTGCTTTCAGATCATTTTCAACAATGTTTGAAAACGTGACAGACGTAGGCCACGTTTTACTTATTTTAAAGTTTCAGCTCTACATTTGTTTATCCCAGTCTGTTATTATGGCTCGTCTTTTCGATCCAAGGCATTAAAACTCCCATCATTTAACCTCAGGGACAACGTCACATAATTCCAGGTCATTCTTTTCCGAGCTGACACTGTCGTCTGAGCCTGGTTTCACGTTCACAACAAACCAAAGCCGTTATTTAGTTTGTCCTTGTATTTTGCGAGCGATGCTTGTAAAAGTGTGAGTGCTGACTCTGACCCTGTCTGTCGGATCAATAAAAACAATTACGTTAAAGGTGTAAATCCTGCTGTGATGCAGGTGCTGCTCAGTCTGCCGCTGCCTTCAGGGACAGCGCGTATTTATCTGCTTTAATCACAGTTTTACTGCTGCGGTCCGGTCTGAGGAAGCTTTGCTGCGTCTGCTCAAAATGTATCACGTCATTAGACCAAACAGGAGGCCGTTCACTGTGATGGACACTGTTGTTAGTTTGTTGTTGAGTGGTCGACGCCATCGTCGGGTCTTTCAGCTCCATCACTCCCAGACGATCAGGCTGCCAGAGCTGATCACGAGGAACGACCGTGGACGAGCGATGGGTGTTTTGACAGATACGAACAACAGTGACGTAAAACTGACAGCCATCAAGTCAGTGATGCGGTCATTAATCCCTGCAGAACAGTTTAGTCCACGAACCATTATCGACGAGGAAATTCTCCCTGTGTCTTGACGGACATCCGTTAACTGAACAAATGAAGAAGACAGCGTCTGTCTGCTGGTGAAATTCTGTAGTAAAATCAATCTTTTTACCCAGAGCCTGATGATAATCCTCCTACCAACCACATTCACCTCGCAAAACCAACACTGCGTGACAACTTGCCATTATTGGATGGCGGTATTGACATTATTAGCAAAACTGAAAAACAAAATTACGAGAAAAAAAAGACCACATGTTAAAAAAAAA